GAGAGAGAGAGAGAGAGAGAGAGAGAGAGAGAGAGAGAGAGGAGGAAAAAGAGGAAAGAGGTAACAGTCTTCAGGGAATGTTTGTATGTTAGTGACTTCAAAATAAAACTGGCACATTTTAGTTTCTAATTATTTTTAGTGAGCTTGGAGGGTTTTAATTAAAATTTAAGAGTGCTCTTCAAGCTCTCCAAGCTCCAATTTTATCCCACTGTATTGTGGAGCACTTGCTACTGTGGAAAAATGTACAGTAACTGGCATGTGCCTCTCTGTTTCCTAATAAAAAGTGTGGGATGGATAATCATTAGGGATTAATATATATGGTCATTTTCTGTTGTAAACAAAAGTCATGGGCACTTTAAACTAGTTGTCATTGTTCTTGAATAATAAACATTTAATATGCTTGAAATATGATTCCTGTGGTAAAAATAAAATTTCCTGTTTTCTTAAATGAGTTGGTAAAGTAAGACATTATAAATGCAGAGCAGCAGTCATTGTTTTTTCACACTAAAATATTCAAAAGCTATTGGTCATATTTTATTATTTTAATATTTTTGGCTTTAGACATCCCTTTGATTTGAAAGGAGGAACAAATGTTTGCTTTCATATAAATTATTTTAAGGAAGAATGAAACTGTCTCATTGCTCTCTCTCTCTCTCTCTCTCTCTCTCTCTCTCTCTCTCTCTCTCTCTCCCCATCTCCCTCTCCCCTACGCCCCAGACTGAACTCAAGTCCTCGCGCTTGCCAGGGAAGCACTTATTTTACCGAGCCATCTTCCCCGGCCCCTTCTTTCCTCTTCTTTATGCTTTAATATTAATTATAATTTATTTCCTCTCTTTGATGTATAACAAAATGTTTTGATGCAGAATAGAAGTTAATATTGCTGCATCTTTGATTAAACAAGAGGAATGTGCTGTGCCAGCCCCGCCCCCGGGGTGCCCTGAGATGGCAATTGAGGCTGGGCGTGGTGGCACACGCCTGTAATCCCCACTCTTGGGAGGCTGTAAACAGGAGGATCACTATGAGTCTGATCTAGTAATGAGACCCTGAACACCCTGTAGACCTTTACCTAAAATTTAAAAAAAAAGAAAAAAAAAAAAAAAAGAATGTAAAAATTTCTCCCAAACAGCACCAGAAAGATGTGAAAATGAGCATCCTATGCTCTTTTATTTTACGTTTCTCTTTTACTATAAAAACTTATTTGCAGGTAAACCATTATTAAGCCATGAAAAAACATTCTGTACTTACCTAATCTGAAATCTAGCTCTACGCAGGAAGTGGGAACTGCACTTCACAATCCACTAGGGAGTGTATTTTTCAAAAAAAAATCAGTCCTCAGTTTTATCTTTTTTTATTTTCTTAGAAAAACCATTTTGAAAGGAAAGAAAAGAAACTCAAACTGTATGAAACTGAGAATCAAAACACATGGAAACTTTACATCCTTGCTTAAAATATGGAAGAGAACTTAAACCTTATCTTTAGATTTTTTGATAGTGTTGTTTTATTCTCTGTTTTTACAAAAAGGAGACAAGTTCAACATCAATTCCTGCATTTTATTGAGTAGACATATATTGCTCAATGGAACAAATTCTTTCAAAGTAACGGGTATAAATTTTCTCATTCTAGGATACTATATTAATATGGAAGCATTATTACTTAGATTTATTTTAATGTATGTGTATTTTGGTAACTTTATATCCTATGATTTTGTGATTTTTTGACTCAGTTTCCAAAACACATGTAGTTCCATTCCTGTTTTTCAGCTGAAGGCAACTCAAAATCACTAAACTGAGTAGTCAACCTGGGTAACTATATTTAGATTATATTTTTCATCATTTTTGAACACTATGACACAAACAGAACCATAATGATTGTTTTCAGAGAAATCAAATCAAACATATCTGTGTGTGCAACATAATTCATAAGTGTTTGTGGGACAGTCAATCCTTTTCTTCTTCCTTATTTTTTTGAGGGGGTATGGAGGAAGAGGGACAGGGTCTCACTATATAGTTCAGGCTGGCCTGAAATTTGCTGTAGTCCTCCTGCGTCAGCCGCTTGATGCTGGAATTACATACAGGTGTGCATCGCCACATCTGGACAATTCTGTTTTTCTATTTGGAATCATATGTGACTACTGTAGTCTTACTCTTTTCATGTACAGAATGCAAACTGGCTCTTTAGTTAGTTTTTCCTCTTTGATTTTGCAATTGTGCTAGATCAAAACATGGCAAAAATTTGATCAGATCATTTACATATGTAAAGCTAGTATCCTATTAGTGTGGTAGAAGGGAGATGAATCCTTTTAATTTGCCTTTTGCCATAATATTAAGTGTCAATTGGTACATTCCCTTAAAGAAATGTAAAATGGCTTTTGTAATTTTATTTCCGGTCCAGGCTTCATCATTTCAAATAAGGAGGCTTTTACGGGAGGAAGAGGTGTTCTTTACCTACACACCACTTGGTAACAATCTGCTTCTTTTGGTCCCGCCCTCCCCGACCTTTCCTGCTTTGCCAAACAGTACAGAGTGCTCAGTGCCACCTGTGGTGTGCTCTTAGAAGTTTGCCAGTGAGATAATTAAGGGAGAAAGCTGAGCTTTTCAAAAAGCTTTCCTACAGTTTTGAGTCTTCTTGAAATCTTCTAGAATTAAGATGAAATGTTTACAGCTTTGTATATAGTGATTTTCATTGCTTTAAGACAATCAGTATTTGTAATTAAATATTTTCATGGTTGTAAATGTAGACATGGAAAAATTGGTTTGTTTTACCCCTCAGTGTCTTCTACTGGGCTGGGACTTCATGTAGCTAGATTAACTTAGCATTATAGAAAGGGTTCAATTTTTAATAGAATGTAAAATGCTTCAAAGTTATTAGCCATTTTATTAGTGAGATGCTTCTAAGAAAGGCAGTGTCCACAAAGTCTGTTATCTGTGAAGTGTATGTTTGTTTTGTCCATATAGCTGCTTTTCTCCTGTGAAGTTTCAGCAGTTTTCTCTTGGATCGTTGAAGGTTTTTTAAGTCTATGTATAGAAAAGAGAGACATATTTTAGTCTTTTTAGTCTTTTTACTTCTAATATGTTTCTAGTCCTAGGATATGGACTTGTTCTAAATTTGTGCATTGCTAATAAACTGAGCTTTTAACTGTGACTATTTCAATATATGTTCTCAGCTCAAAATTTAACCAGTCCATACTTTTATATTTCTGTCAGAAAACATGATATGACATACACAAAGGGTAAAATTTTTAATCAAAGTGGGATATGAAATTCAAGTCTTTTTATTGACTATTCTTACCCATAACATAAGATTATATTGATCTTTTTCAGAAATTCAAAACTGATTTGAAAAAAATTAATCTCTGACAGGCATGACTTTAAAAATTTGCTTCTTAACTTTTAAATTTGGCTTTATTATTTATGATTTTAGCATAAGACAATTAGGTATAGCACAAAATATGTATTTCATTTCAGAATACGAAATAAAAAATACCAAGAGACACTGGGGCAAATAGATAAAACCTGAACATATTCACAGATGCCACATTGGAAGGTCACTCAGAATCCATTTTAGTTTGCTTTGAAAGCCTAGGAAAATAATAGGAGAGAAGGAAGGAAGGGCAAAAGCTGGAAAGAAAAAAAAAGGAAGAAAGGAAGGGCTGGAAAGAAGGGCAGGAGAAAATAAAAAATGAAGCTGATTTCTATTTAGAAAGAATTTCAGCTTCTGCGGAGAGATAGCTAATGCAGTTGGTCTTCATCCGCCTTTTGGGTCCCACAGATCTGGATTCCATCCATGCCTTGACTGATTGTGTCATGGACAAATGTTAATTGTTTTTCACAGATACGTTATACCTTCTAGCCATGCAATGGTCTGCTCATCTCTTAAGCAGGGATCTCTGCCTTTTTCTAAAGCTAATCCAGTTTCTAAAGCCCTCTAGAGCCATCTTGACCTAACTGTCATTCTGAAAAATTCAAGGAGGCTTTAGAAGCTAGAGAAATAAAATGAACGGGAACATGCAAGAGATAGGTGCTGATGGATAGAGAAAATGCACTTGGAAACGGAGCAGCCATTTTAAATAAAATTTTATAAGAAAGTTATCAGTATTTTGACACTCGGAATGTTGAAGTTTGTTGGGAGTGTGTTTTGTACTGGGAGCTGAGTGTTTAGATCTGCATTCCCTCTTGGGAATATGGCATATTTGTTAAGATTTGTGGCTGAGACAGGACAAGCAAATAGTTGTATGCAATAGCTCCACTTTCAAATCCAGCTAAATAGAAAAACTACTCAAAAAGAAAATTTTGGTGGTTTTAAAGAAGCTTAGAGGAGCAACATCTATGAATCTTTATAAAAACACATGTATTTGGCCCCTATAATCCAGTATATTACTTATAAATGCAGTAAGGCAAATAATATTTAAATAGACATTTTATTTAATAAAAATAAGCACATTTTGTGAAAAGTTTTAGTCATTTTCATTACTAAGGTACAGCGGACATCTTGACTTAATTTTTCCTCCTCCTTTACTCTAAAGGAGTATTTTATAAAAGTTAGATTTCTTTTTTAAAGACCAAGTGGTTACAGGTTGATTGGCCACTTCTCCCTTGAAGATGTTATTGTTTGTTGCACAGCAGATAAATTTTTCTTGGATTTAAAATGTCATCTGGATTAAAAGCAGTATCATTTAAACTTAAGCCCATAGGAAAGATCCCTCATTCCTAACCTTTCAATTTTGAACACTGATAACTGCCAGTTAAATAGTCATAGAATTATAATACTAAGGAAAGATTATTGAGCATTATCCTGTGTTTTTCTGGGCAACGGTTTGTCATCTAATGGAAAAAAATCAACTGAATCATGATATTTTATAATACATGGAGTAATGTAATTGTCGAACGTGTTGCAAAAAAACCAGCATTGCACATTGTTACATGAGAGATTTTCTCCATAAATTGGCCTTCTGAATTTGTAATATACATATGTTCATAATGTTTATTTTTGTATTTTCACAGATTCTTCCTGCATGGAAAAACTACTTTCAAAAGATTGGAAGGAAAAAATGGAAAGACTAAATACAAGTGAACTTCTTGGGGAAATTAAAGGTACAATATAAAAAATAATGAAAATATCAATACATGAATGTTATTTTTTGTGATGACATATTTGCTGGTTTTCTGTAACACTAAATTCTTACCTAAATTCTTACTTCATGATTTTAGATGGGAGAGCAAAAGTATAATATGTCTCTAAAATTATCTTCTTTGTAATATTTACAGAATGAAATTTCTGTCCATACATTGTACTGCTTAATGAATTTACTTAACGCATGAGAAGGAAAAATAGTTATGTCAAAAAAGAACAATTTAAGCTCAAGATACTCTTAGTTCTTCCTCTTAAAATCATAACACCTTAATTTATGAGTCCAAATTATTCATTTGAATTTCTTCATGTCAAAACATCTTACCTATACCACCTTTTAATAAAAATCATATATAATGTACTGTGCATAATAATTTATTGGTGGATTCTGAGTCCTGGATACCTCAGATCCTTACCACATCGACTTTGTAAATTATTAGATGAATGGCTTTAGGGAGACCACTGGATTTTTCTATATTTCATATTTATTATCGCTAAAGTGGAAATGATAGCACACATTATAGACTCAGTAAGAGAATTAATACATTCAAAGCTCTTGGATCCACAGTACCTGATGACAGTTAAGAAAGTACCTACAAGTATAAACTGTGGTAGCTGTTAATATGCCCAGAGGAATATTGATTAATCACAAAGATTTCATAGAATTTAGCATTTCATGATCTTTGACTCAGATGAAAATGAGTATATTAATTTTTGAAATACTATGTTTGATCATCAATCCCAGTCTATGAAGTATTAAATTACTTTTAGCTGGAGCATCATACTTGCCTGGAAAACCCTGACTGATTTGTTTATGGAGGTCAAGTGCTGTATCCCTAGGTTTTTGTTTCATGATTAAAACTCAGTCATTCAGTCAATCATCCTTCCTAAACAAATAGTCATAGCTTTTACCTGCACTAATAATTTAAAAACTTAATTCTATTAGTTTTTTAAACTTCTCTAACAACTTTAGAAGGATCTTCCTGTTGGTTCTGGGTAAAATCCCAGTTAAGATGATAATTTGTCAGTATCTGATGAAACAGTTATTTTAGTTTTACTACTGAAAATTGCCTAACGTTGAAGCATTTTATGTTCAAGTCAAATAAAGACAAAGGCAAGAAATCTTTTCCCCAGTGAATCATTAGTAACTCTTTCCATTAACTAATACAGTATCAAAATCAAGTGGAAATTGGATATTATTTTGAATTGCACTGCTTCTGTTTTTTACTCATAAAGGCCATGTGCTATTTTGGAGAAAAGAGAAACTCAACTTATAACTGATGGGCTGAAAGAAAGTCATCAGTGACATATTCTCTATCCAGCTGCAGTAACGTGGCGTGTGCTACTCTGTACGGCATTCTGTGTTTTCTTCTCTTTCCAAAGTCACTGGTTTTATAACAGTGAGAACAGAAATGGTTTATGCAAAGGAAAGCTTTTGCCAGCATGAGTGATGGAGTCTTGTCTTCTCTTAGTAATGTGGAAGCTAACATTTTATTATATCAAAACTCAACATAGAGTTTTAAACACCAGGGTATCTTTTACTTTTACACTTCATTTTTCTTTAGAATTCTAATTCTAAATTTAAAATAAAAAATTACAAGTCTTAGATACTCAAAATGTATAAACTTCAAAAGTGAAACATATGCAAAATTAGGTTTTTCAAATTCTTTGTCTTTTGTCCCTGGATTTTTTATGTGATATGTGAGCATTTATTTATGTACTAGTCTTTGAGTTTTATGAACATAAAAATAATATTCTCACTGAATTTCCTATTTTGATTTATTGTATTTTTTGCCTCTTTTTCATTTTAATATTTTGTCCTCTTACACATTATACCTAAATTATACCAATAATATATTCACTTAAACTAAAAAAGAATTTAAAGTGGTATTCAAATAGTTTGATTTAACTACTGCTGAAACTCAATATACATTTTTATTCTAGGTCAGATCAAGTCAGTTATTATCTACATGAACTTGTTATCCGTTATTCTAAAATTTTAAAGCAAATATAAATTATATCTCTTTGTTAGTATCTCAGAGGAGTAGTATGTGGATAATCAGTATTATATTATATACCAAGCACTGAGTATTTTAATAGGATTTATTTTTCTCTGGTTACAAAATTCCTACATATACATTTATAGGAAACAGATAAAAATGGAAAAGAATTGTAATTTAATTCTAGCTGTCCCATATCATATGTCCTTTTTATTTTAACTTATGTATACATATTAATCTCTCCCATAAACTTAGTTTCATCTTTTTACTATTCTTTTGTAATCTGCTTTGTCACTTAATGCTATATTATGAATTACCTTGTGATTATGTAATGTAGCATTTTTTTTCACAGAAAATGGCATAATTTAGTTGAACCTTTTATTTAACATTTAGTTTGTTCTTAATGAACAAAACAAGTTGTCAGAATGAAAAGTATCTTGAATACAGAGAATATCTTATTAAGACTTTTTAGTTAATTAGTGGTTATTTTCTTTAGATATATTCTTAAAAGTAAAGTTCTTGGCTAAACAGTATTCTTTTAAGACTTTTGATTTTTAGTGTCCCTTACCTACAGGAAAAACATAGCATTTTATGTTGTGTCTGGCAGTATCTGCAAATGCTTAGCCCTCAGTAGAGAATGTTCCTTTACAGATTTCTTGCAGGGGAGAAACCACTTATAATTGCTCACTTAATTTGAATTTTTTTGATTTGTGAGAATGAGGATTATACACAAACTTGCTGTGAAATGTCTCTTCCTTTGTGAACTGTGTATGTTGGTTGCCAATTTTTCCTTTAAATGACTTGACGAGTTTTACCTGGTTTGTGAAAATTTGTTGTATATATTAATGGTGTTGAATTTTGTCATTGACTTTATTTTATGGCTTTGTTGTCAGTCCTTCTATCACTTTGTAAAAGCTTTTCTTTCAGATTGTTTAGAAAGACCTTTCCTATCCTGAAATTAGATCACATTCTACTGTATTTTCTTTTATTTGTATGGCTATACTTTAAAATATTTAAACTTCTTTTATTCCTCATTAATATATTTTGATGTACAATATCAATTAGGGATGTGTTAAATTTTTCTCAATGGTTAACCAGATTTTTCTATATTATTAAATCTATTTTATTCCTTCTCCTATATAGTAGCAGCTTTTATTATATTCTAATTACATATTTAGGACTATTTCTCAGTTTGAGTCTATTCCACTGATCTTTCTGTCCAAATTTTTATTAAGACTAAATGACATCAATCACTATCGCTTCATAACACTTTTCATAATTTTAAATATAAGGTGTTTTTATCCTTTTTGTAGAAGTTATCTTATTTTATTTTATCAATTGTAAATTAAAATCCCAAAGTGATGTTTTAAAAATTATTTTTCTATGGAACGATAGGGTACATTGGCATCTTTATAAAATTGAGCATTTCCACTTAAAATTATTTAAATCTTGTATGTTACTCAACAATATTTAACTTTAAAATATAGACTCTATACATTTCTTTTGGTGCTTTATTTGTACTTTAATGTTTTTGCTTACTCTTGAGAATGTGATATTTTTCATTTTATTTACTTTTTGCTAATGTTTTTAGAGATGTTAGTGCATTTTGCTTATGTATTTTTCTATTTTATTTATAATTTTTAAAATTATTGAGTAGAGTAGGTCTAGTTATATTGCAGATAAGTGTGCATTCTTCTACTCATAATGCAATGCATATAATATAGAGAATAGTCTTAAGCAATAGAAAAAAGCAAGTATTTTAGTTAATTTTTAAATTTATGGTATTTTTATACTATTTCAGGGTATTTTGTTGACTAAGATTTTATCATTTAAAATATTTTAGTGTATAAAAACTGCCTTTTATGGTATAGGTTATTTGTTTCCATTTTAAAAAATTTATTATTGAAATAAACCTGATTCATCATGGAATAGTCTTGTTTTAATGTACTATCTACTTTTTTGCTTATATTAACACTTGTTACTCTATAAAATCTATAATTATAAATAAAATTAACTGTTTCTCTTTATTTTCACTTTCTCGATTTTTAGTTCCAAATTTTACTGTGGAATTAGAAAACTTCCTCATTTTCTGAATAATGTGAAATTAAATAGATAATGTGTGAATTATTTATTTCTTAAAATTACGAAGAATATACTTATGCCATATTTAGGATTAGAGCTTTTTCTTTGGGATTTTTAAACATTTTCAATTTCTCTTTAGATAATTTTTCCATAAAATATTTTTTGTAGAAATTATATACCTTATGACATTTTAAAATGTTAATATTAGTTTAATATATAGTGGCCCTCATTTTAAATAATGTGATTTTAAATTTTGAATATTTGTATTTTTTTCCCTTTTGCCCTTTACTTGCCAGTGGTTTTTCTATTTATTAACTGTGAATTCCCCATCAATCCAGTTTTTGGATTTATGTGTCAATTCTGCTACTTTTCAGTATGCCAATTAATTAATATTGCATTTACTTTTACTAACTTGCCTTGTTTTCCTTATAATTCTTATTTTTTTTTGTTTCTTAAGTATCATCTAACTTCCTTGATTGAATACTTCCTTTAAAAGTATTTCAATTTAATAATAAAGTTGCAACATTTTGTTCTTGAGTGTTTCTAGAAATAGCACTATTTGAGAGCTTGTGTTTCCATTATTTTAAAAAAAAGTCAACATTTACATAATTTTTTAGGTGACCTAGGCTTGCACACTATTTTTAAGTTTATTCTGTCTTTTAATAGGTGTGATGAAGTTGGGAGAGGGAGAAAACACAATCTTTCATAACCACTGGAACGAAGTGAGAGGAGTGTGGGCTATAATATGCATCACAACAGGTTTTAAAAATAGATCCCAAGGGTCGGGGAGATAGCTCAGTAGAATAAGTGCTTGCCTGGCAAGCACAAGGTCCTGAGTTCAACCCCCAGTTAAAAAAAAGAATCAAATCAGAGTGAAGATA